TTTTTTATTTTATGTGTATGGTTCTTTAGCCTGCAAGTATGTCTGTGTACCACAGGTATGCAGTGCCCTCAGAGGCCGAAAGAGGGCGCCAAATTAGGTGGGCTGGAGTGGCAGGTGTTTGTAGCCTCCATGTGGATGCTGGGAACTGAATCCCAGTCCTCTGGAAGAACAGCTAGAGCTCTAACTGCTGAGCCAAGCCCCAAGAGAAAGGCACTCGTGAAGATGGAAGTGAGAGAGTGTAGTTAATGTTTTCTTTGGGCCACCAGACAGCTCCCAGATAAAGACATGGAAACTTATTATTGATTACGAATGCTCAGCCTTACCTTAGGCTTGTCCTACTAGCTGTCTTAATTTAATCTGCTTCCATTCATTTATGTTTTGCCTCAGGGCTCTTTACCTTCCTTTCATTCAGCGTCCCACTTTCCTGCCTCCTCTGTGTCTGTCTGTCTGGGCTGTGGCGTCTCCCTGTCATCTCTTCTTTCTCACTGGGCCTAAATCCCTCCTCCTGTTCACTCTCCCTGCATGGAAGTTCTGCCTGTGCCTCCTCCCTCACTATTGGCCATCCATCTTTTTATTAGGCCAATCAGGTGCCCTAGGCAGGCAAGGTAAAACGGCAGCACATCTTTACATAATTAAACAAACATTCCACAATATAAACGGATGCGACACATCTTTGCATAGCTAAACAAATGTCCAGCAACAGGCTAGTGAGTTGGGACAAGGGATACACCAGTGAGCACAAGGTCTTGAGGACAGTTTAGAGGCTTTTTTCACAACCTTCTTTTTCTCTAGCATTTGCATACCGAGGGCTTTGCTCTGGCATTTGTACGTGGAGGGTTATTCTTGAGCATGATCTGTTTGTTGAGTGTAGCCCAGGTGGGGAAGGGTTCCCAGTTCTTTGCCAACTGGTTTTTTCTCATATGTCAGTCTTGACTCTGCCTTCCCTAGCCCCTTACAAGCTTGCCCTTCTCATGCCACTCCTGCATACCTGATTCTTCCTAGTTTTGCTTACTTCTCCCTGTGGGGAAAACAAAACCCCCACAAACTCTTTTTTCTTAAGAATTTAGGATCACAGTGTCCTCCCTCTGGCAGCCAATGCCTCCCCACCCTTTGCAGTATTCCTCGTTGATAAAGTCCAGGTATTTCTTTTGTTTGTTTAATATGCCCATTTGTTTTAGCCGAAGTTCTTCCTCTGCCCCTAGCATGGCCATTATGACCTACACAATACCTTGGCCAGGCAGTTGTGACAGCAGACTAAGCAAAAATAATACAGTGATGACTAGGGCAATAACTCTTGTAGTAGTTAGTGATAGTAATGGTACTGTCCACATCCATCTTAGGGGAGGGGCGTGTCACTAGATCCTCCCTTGAGAGTCCAGATGCCCTTGAGTTGCACACAGTCTTGAATGGGTGCTCAAGCATTAAGAGATAGAAAATTAAAAAAAAAAAAGAGAAAGAGAGAGATAAAAAGAATCACTGCAGGGAGAATTCTAGTGACACAGCTTTTCTGAAGGTGTCCCTGACAGTAGGGTCAGGTTTTCTTTGGTGCAGCAGGCTTGAGTCACCCGTGCTCATATGGAACCACTCACTCATGTTCCAGTAAATAAACTGCAATAAACTGTAGATGGAATTTTCTGCCCTGCCAGCCAGCTCCCAATAACCACATGGAGACTTCTTGTTAATTATTAAAGCTCAGCCAATAGCTTAGGCTTGCTTTTAAATAGCTCTTATAACTTAAATAATCCATTCCTGTTAATTTACTTTCTGCATCATGGCTCTATTTCCTCTATCCTATTTTGTGTGTCTAACTCAGTCCGAATCTGCCAGGATTCTCCCCTCATCTTCTGGTGACTCTGCTTTTCTTCATCCCAGAGAGCTCTCTCCCTGTCCTCAAGTCTTGCCTAGCCTCTACCTGCTGAGCTATTGGCCATTTAGGTTTTTATTAAACCAATGAGAGCAACACATCCTCACAGTGTATAAAAAGATTGTTCCACAACAATAAACACATTAGGTTACCGAGCTGGATTTGGTTGAAATCATTTCTTTGGTTTGTCAGTGCCGTATCTGGGATGAACAGACATTTTAAAAATGTTTCCAGGAAAAGTAATGTAACACAGATTCAAACCAGAAGTTACACAGGGTGGAATGGAGCTGTAAAGCAGCCTGGAAATCACACCATCTCACTGACCAAATCTACCTACAACTCAGGGAGGGGCTCTTGTAACCTTAGCTTTCTGGCCTGGCAGGTCCTGCTGCCATTTCAGCCCCAAAGAAGCACATGGATGCTATATTAGTTATGAAACTGTTGGCCGGTGGCTTGAGTTTGTAATTTAGCTAGTTCTGTCTTAATTACTCAACCTGTTTCTATTAATCCATGTATTTCCACATGGTATTGGCTTACCGGGACAATGCTGGACCAACAACTCCTTTGCCTGCTACATGGTGACTGTTCAGAGTCTGCTCAGAGAAGAGATCATTTCCTGTTTGTCCCTGCTTATATTTTGATTCTGCCCAGCTGCGTCACTTCCTGTCTGGCCCATCAGCTAATCAGTGTTTTATTCATTAACCAATAAGAGAAACAAATATATAGAAAAATATTCCCCATCAGGCTCTTGCTAAAAGAAGGTGGCGAACACACAGAACAGTTGCCAGTATATGCATTTTCTTTGTAAGGGGGATGTTAGCCACATAGGGGACAGAGGCTCCACCCTGTCACCCACAGCAGTCAGAGGAGGGCCCCTGTCTAGGGACTTTGTTTTGTTTTTTACGAGACAGGGTTTCTCTGTATCTCTGTATTGTTTTGGAGGCTGTCGGTCCAGCCTGGCCTTGAACTCACAGAGATCCACCTGCCTCTGCCTCCCAAGTGCTGGGATTAAAGGCATGCGCCACCACCGCCCGGCTCTGTCTAGGAACTTTGACTTGGAATAAAAAGGAATTTATAGCTCTGTCCCGGAACAGCATTTAGGACTATCCAGTATGAAGCAGAATTGAAGTTTAGTAGAGATACTCTAGCACAGATGTTATCATGAGGGGTGAGCCAGAGAAAGGTGCGTGTGCACACACACACATACACACACACACACACACAGAGAGAGAGAGAGAGAGAGAGAGAGAGAGAGAGAGAGAGAGAGAGAGAGAGAGAGCTAGGGGTGTGGTTTCTCTGAGACCAATGTTTATTGTCTATACAACAGCCAGGATGGGATTTTGGTGGTTTTGAAACTACTGTCTTCAAGGTGTTGCTAAGAAACCCAGAGGAAATCACAAGGTAGTCCCCGGGACACTTGATAGGGTTATAATTGATCAGGTAGGAGTCTAGATCACAGGGGTGTGGGAAGCCAACCTGTCTTTACTGTAAACCAAGTTGGTAATCTTACTCGAGATTCTTAGGAACATATGTAGAACAGAATGAAGACCTATTCAGGTTTATACTGTTCAGGTCTTCTGAGTCATGACTAGTTTTTTTTAACGATAACTCTTCCCACCAACCTGGTCTCAATGTTTCGTTAACCCCAAATAACACAGGAGACGCTATATTAATTGTAAAACTGTTGACATTTGGCTATGGTTTCTTAATGACTAGTTCTGTCTTAAGTGTTAACCCATAACTACTAATATACATATTTCTATAAGGCCTTATTTTACTGAGGACGCCAGCCTCATGTGCCCTCTCTTCCTGGGATCACATGGCGACCCTCTTACTACATTTCCCAGAATCCTCCTTGACTCCTAGTCCCACCTATCTTGCTTCCCTATCTGCCAACAGTGCTTTATTTATCAACCAATAAGACAAACATATACACAGAAGGACTTCCACCATCAACTTTTCACATAAGCTATCTAAATACTAGAAGACTATTACCTCCACAGTAGCAACATTCTCAGCAAACGTCTTGTAATTCTTGCTTTTCGTTTGGCAAGAAACTTTAATCAGAATGCAGGGTGAGGGGCTCCTTCCCTTCACAAGTCCCCATAATTTCCCTGCTTTTATTTCCTGCTGCAGATGACTCGGTGCAGATATGTAGTTTCTTTTGGATTGCCTGATACTTTTACCCATAATTCAGCTATTTTGTGTCACGTGGCTCTTACCATGAGGATTGCCCTGAACCTGATTACTCTGCTGTGTTTCTGAAAATATGCTAAAAAAGAAGAGATAAAAGTAATAAAGAAAGAAGAAAAGAAGTCAATGAAACAAAGCACCACGCCTAACACAATATGCCAATTCCGTCTTCTTTTCAAGTAAAACCCATCTCAAATTCAGCTTAGGACTGGGGAATCTCTAAACTCTAGAATTTAAAACCTAATCAAATTTTGAAAAAAAAATGTGCTTTTGTTGAAGCAGAGAGGGGTTTTAGTTGAGAACATGTATATAATTATAAAGGTTAAACAGTTCACCAGTGCAGTTCTGGTCTTCGGAGACAAAATAAAAATCTGGGTCTGTCAATTAGAAGTTGAGGAGACTTAGGCATGGTATATAATATCTTATTTATAAAATACTGACCTACATTACTGAGTGCTGGGAATTAAAAATAAGGGGCCAGTGAGATGCCTTAGCAGCTAAAGGCGCTGTGCTGACAACTTGACACAAGCTGGAGTCATTTGAGAGGAGGGACCCTCAGCTGAGAGAGCGTCTTCATAAGACACAGCTATGGGCAAGCCTGCAGGGCATTTCCCTAATCACTGACTGATGTAGGCGGGCCCAGCCCATTGCAGCTGGTGCTGCTCCTAGACTGTGGTCCTGGGTTCTGTCAGAACGCAGGCTGAGCAAGCCACAAGGAGCCATCCAGTCAAAAGCACTCTACAGGGCATCTATGTCAGCCCTGCATGAGTCCCTGCTGGGGGTGGTTTGAATGCGGTTGGTCCTCCATAAGCTCATAGGGAGTGGCACTAGTAGGAGATTTGGATTTTATGGAGTAGGTGTGGCCTCACTGGAGGAAGTGTGTCACTGTGGGGGTGGGACTTGAGGTCTGATCTACGCTCAAGTCACGCCCAGTGTCTCAGTTCACTTCCTATTGTCTGTGTATCAAGAGGTGGGACTCTCAGCTCCTTCTCCAGCACCGAGTGTGCTTGCGTGCTGACGCGCTACCCGCCATGATGGCCATGGACTGAATCTATGAACTGTGAGTAACTGATTAAACGTTTCCTTTATAAGAGGTGCTGGGGCCATGGTGTCTCTTCCCAGCAATAGAGACCATAACTATGACAGTGCCCTCCCTGTTGATGAACTGTTGCATGGAAGTGTGACTGAGACGAAAATCTCTCTTCCCCAAGTTGATTTTCCACACAGTGGTTCATCATAGTAACCGTAGGTTAGACAGGTTCCTGCCACCAAGTCTGATGATCAGCTCGGCCTCTAAAATTCATGTGGTGGAGGGAGAGAACCGACCCACATGGCTGTCTGTGTGCACAACACACGCACACACACATGCACAAAAACACAGAGGCCGGGCTTATGTGCATTGAAATTGCCCTTTAAAACTCTATGAATCACCCCCTTCCCAATTAGCACGTTTTGCACATAGAATCTTTAGAACTACATTGTCTAGCTTATTAAAAAAAATTCGTCTCCCTTCTTCTTGTCTCCCTCTCTTTTTCCTGGCTCCCTTTCCCCTCCCCCACCCTGTGCTCCCAGGAAGGTGGAGTTGGGTGAAGAATAGAGGAGAGCAGGATGAGAGACACCATAATAGAGGGAGCCATTCTAGGTTTGAGGGGAGATCTGGCACTAGTGAGAACTCCAGAGATGTACAATGATGACACCAACTGGCAAACTAAACAGTAGTGGAGAGACTACCTTAAATGCTCTCCCTAACAATGATTTTGACGACTATCTTACATATCATCCTAGAACCTCTATCCAGTGACAGATGGAAGCAGAGGCAGACACCCACAGCTAAACATTGAACTAAACTCCTGGAACCCAGTGACAGAGAGGGAGGAGTGATGAGCAAAGGGTCAAGACTGGGTTGGTGAATCCCAGAGAAACAGATGACCTGAACAATGGGGAGATCTTGGACCCCAGAGTGATGGCTGAGAGGCCAGCATGGGACTGATCCAGACCCCCTGAATGTGGGTGTCAGTGAAGAGACTCAGGCAGTCTATGGAGTTTTTGGGTAGTAGATCAGTATTTATCCCTGGCACACAAATGGACTTTGGGGACCCATCCCACAGTGAGGGATGCTTTCTCAATCTGGACACTTTGGGAAGGGCCTGGGCCCTCCCCAGAATGAAATGACAGACTGGAGATCTCCCATGGAGGGCCTTACTCTCCCTGGGGAATGGAATGGGGATTGGGTGGCAGGCTCTGGGAGCTGGGGGGAGGGAGTGGGTGTGGAGGGGAGGGAGAGACTTGAGACTGACATGGGAAGCAAGCTTGTTTCTAATTTAAATATATAATAAAAAAGTGTAAAAAATTCCACAAAAAATGCTCCTAATGTACTGTGTAACTTGTGGACCAATTTTGATGGTTCTTATGCATAAACATTGATGGAGATTGATTACAAGGAAGGATGGGGCCACTCATATATTCCATGGTACTGAGGTAGTGAGATGGGTGAATGGACATGAATTCTTATTCCAGATATTTGTTTTTAGAAAGATTAATTTTATTTGTATTTGTGTGTGTGTGTGTGTTCACCTGTGTGCAGGTGACGAAGAGGCCAGAAGAGGGCACGGGAGTCCCTGTAGCTGGAGTTACAAAGGTGTTTGTGAAATTCTTGATGTGGGTGCTGAAAACTGAACTCAAGTCCTCTGGAAAAGCAGCAAGTGTTCTTAATCTTAACCACTGAGCCATTTCTCCAGCTCCAGGCATACATAACAATTTTGGATCTGCAGGTTACGGTGTGGACAGCTTTAGGTGTTCCATTGTGAAGTCCTGTCAGCAAATATCTTGCTTTTCTAAGAATAACCTCAGTCTTTGCATTCTCACCACACTCATCCTTAATCGCTATGCAACCAAATCCTCGGTGCCATCTGCCAGTATTATTTACAAGGGACTGAGCACAATCGCATATGCGTTTGCAATAGAAAATTAACTTTGAAAAACTTGTGGTGCATTATATAAGGATCCTTGAAGCTTTTGGGGTAAGGTGGAAGGCAGGTTTCTCCTAGGATGTCCAGTAACGAACACAGGTGGGATTGGCGTAAGTCCTCAGGTGTTATTAGAATCCAGCTGGAGGTGGGATACCCTTCACAGGCTCGTGGGTTTCCACACTTGGTCCTCAGCCGATGGTGCTGTCTGGGGAGGTGACGGTAACTTCAGATGCATGGTGGGGCCCAGCTGAAGGAAGCTGGTCACTTGGGGGTGGGTGGGAAGGAGACACAGACAAGGAAAGACGGAAAGAACAACTTGACAGCAGAACAGGTTCAATGGGGGAAGGGAGAAGGACCTGCCGAGGGGAGCCATTTAGCTTGTTGTCATTTGCAGACTAGACAGGAGGAGGTGGGGGAGGAAGAGGGTTGGAAAAACTTCTTTTTTTCTTTTTGGCTGGAGACTGACCATTGCTAGGACTGATGAGGGTATGTTGGACGAAACAATCTCTCTGTGCTGGCCGTTACTGGGGATCAAGAAGGCGGGAATCTAGGAAAACATTACTTTAGTTCTGGGAATGCCAATCATGTAGTTTCGGTAATTATCATTGCCTAAGCAAAACGGAGTGGCCTTCCGAAATGTCACGGCCTGGCTGACAACAGCCCCTCCCCTTCCTTCTACCTGCTTTCTTCCCCATCTGCCCCTACAGGAGCGAGCAGTTTCATGATTCTGCTGCCGCAGGCTCACTCTCTGTGGTCCTCCTCACTGCCATGGTTTCCACCATGGAGAACTGTCCCCTCACACCGTGGACCAACATAGGCCCTGCCTTCCTTAGGTCAGGCATTTGGCCTCAGGGAGGAGAAGAGTAACTAGTTACACAGCAGGGCACTAAAGAGCGTGGGCCTCCTGACGACAAGACATTTCTGCTTCCCTAAGCCTTGCTGCAGATCTGGGGAACAGACCAACATCTCCAAACGGCCAGGCATGGTGGTGTACACTTTTAATAACTAGCAGTCAGGAGCGAGAAGCAGGCAGGTACGTTTCTATTAGTTCAAGGCAAGACTGGTCTGTACAGAGTTCCAGGCAAGCCAGGACTTCATTTTGGGAGCTTTCTCTTCTTTTCTTTTCTAAATTGCTTGACTACGCCCCCCCACTTTAGGTAAACCCAAAGGCTGACTGTCAAGAGTTACAGGGAGTAACCACACACAGGGAAAACTCATGCTCACCCCCCCTAATGAGGTTTGGTTTTTCTATCTCTCCAAAGTATTTTAGACTTTTACTTCTCTCTAGACCCCCTGCCACTAACTCCAAGTCTCCATCATTGCCTGCTTGGACTACTTGTAATAGCCTCGGTGTTTCCCACCCATTTCCGTCTTTCATCCAAACTATCACCTGATAGCCAGGGGGCATTTCCTGGAGTCAGAAATAAAATTATTTCTCTTCCATAAACCCCCTCAGTGTTTTCCATTGAACTTAAAGGACGATGGACTTTTCTCCCGCTGTCCTCGAAGGCTGGGTTTTTCTGGCTTCTGAAGCTTTCCGTATAGGCATCACTCTGTCCTACCCCGGTGTCCTTCTAGACCCTGAACACCCTTCCGTGCTGCGAATCTGCCGAGCATTTTCCTGTCCAGCCACCATTTCCTTCCGCCTTCTCCCACGGCATGGTCTTCTTCTCATTTACGTTTAAAGAGGCTTTTCCCATGAGCACCCTCTGCTTCCGGGGTAGTTTCTGCTTCTGTGACGGTTTAAAGGGGAACCCTCTTCCAACGGCTCAGGGGTTTGAACATTTGGTCCCCAGTATGTGGCACTATTTTAGAAGCTTGTACAATCTTTAAGGGGTGGAGCCTCACTGGAGGAAGAGAGTCACTGGTCTGGAGGAGAGCCTCGAGGTTTGGTATCTGGGTCCCACTTCCTGCGGCTCTCAGCTTCCCAGCCATGGAGGTAATAAGGGCAGCCGCTGCATGCTCCTGCTGCTATCGTCACGGACTTCCTGACCACAATGGACTGTATCCCCCCAAACCATAAGTCAAAAGCTGCCGTTTGTCAGATGTTGGTTTATGGCAAAGAGAAAAGTGCCCGACACACCCTAGCTAAAGTACAGCAGTAGTCACAGCTTTTGTTGACATTTTCTAAGCGAATTCACATTTGAAGCACATTAGGAGTGAGATTACCAGATGACATTTGCCAAGTCACTTGGAATCAAGCATCTGAGTACTGTGTGCCACAAGGACGGAGGGTTCCTCAATAAGGACACGATGGAGACTGCTGAACTATTCTCGGGAGGTTTTCTGCCATGAAGGAGGAGATGGGCAGGCTTGGAGGAGAGCCCGTGGCTGGACTCTTTCTGCTACTGGGGACAGTGACACAGTCTAGCAAGTGACAAGACTGCTTTGGGTGTGTTGGGAGCATCCCAAATCCAGGATTCTATCCTACCTTTAGTGAAACTAGTAGATAATATTCATAAAAGTTGATGGCCTCTGTGGAAAATGTCACCAGAGCTGTTTGAAAGTGCTCTGCTGTAGTGAAGATACAGGGAAAACAGGATCCAGGTCCCCCTGCTGACAGCCTGTCTTGTCTCTTATGTTTTTTCTTTGAAGGCACAGAAGTAAGCACTGAGGGGTTGCTCTGCCCTTTAGCTGTCCATAGAAATGAAATGAAATCATATTAAAGCATGCAGACCCTTCTAAATTAAAGCATGCAGACCCCTTCCAAATTGTCAGGCTAAGGAAGCGATTTCAGGGCGGGTGACTGGGTGAAGTTGCTCGCTGCCAAGTTTGAGAACCAGAGTTCGATTCCTGGGAGCCACATGGTAGAGAGAACTGACTCCCCTAAGTTGTCCTCTGATCTCCACCCATGTAACTCGGATGCCTCCCCCCCAAACAAGCAACAAACAGATAAGTAAAATAGATACTTTTAAAAGAAAAAACTTCAGAGATTTTTCTTTAAAAAATGAACCGCACAAGCTAGACATGGTGGCATGTGCCCACAATTCCAGGGCCAGGGAGGCAGGGGCATGAAAGCCACTGCTAATTTGAGGTCAGACTGGGCTAGGAAGCAAGATCTAGACCAGTGTAGCTAGAAAGCTACATAATG